CTTCCTTCCTTCCTTCCTTCCTTCCTTCCTTCCTTCCTTCCTTCCTTCCTTCCTTCTTTGACAAAAGATTAATCTAAGAATTCTTATAGAAATAAACATTGTTGTAAGACTAATGAGACTTTAAAGGAACAATTTTTAAGTGGTTCCCATCTTTAAGAGGGCTTTTGAGTTTTACAAAAATTAAGCCAAGATCATTTTGTAGGTTCCTTTCTGAAATAAAATCTCTGAGGAGGAGTTTCAATAAGATAAGAAAATGGGCTTTCTGCACCTCTCTGACCAACAGCTGTTTAGGCAATTTCTTATTCAGAATAGGATCTGTGTATTTTCTAAATTGCTTTTTAAAAACCGAAATGCTCTAATTCATAACTGTTGCCCCGGGCAGATTTCAGAGAAGTTTAAATGTCTCAGTGCTCATCGCAGTTTACTTACAGGACTGTTGCACGTTTTCCTGTAGCTGGCTGGCTCCGATCGCCCACTGGCTTGGTCAACGCGCACAAAGTGGTGGCTCTGAGGGACGGTGAGGTATTTTTTGCTGTCTTTTGACACCGAGGTCCTGATGGCTTTTTTACTGAGAGTAGGAGATGAGGGCGATAAAGGAATGCCTGAGAAATGAAAACGGAGAACAGTCAGGATCTCAAAACGTTACCTCGATTAATTAATGCCCTGTTCAGTCCGCACTGGGTTCCCGGAGGGGTGTGTGTGTGTGTGTGTGTGATCTGAAAGACCTGATACGGAGTCAGTAGGAAGGCTCTGCTGTGGAGCTCCCCGGCCCTCAGAGCGGACGGATCGGCTGCATCTGCACCAGGAGACCTGGTGCCGCAGGATCTGCTGCTGATCTCTTTAGCACAAGCCTCACCTTGACCGCAGCATCACGCCAGGTTCCAGGCCCAGAGTTTTTGGCAGAAAAAGGAAAGGGGCAGAACCCGGCGGTTCCCTTTGAAGGTGGGAAAACTCCCCGGTGCGCCCAAATGGGGAAGCAAAGCAGATCGGACTGAGTTCATAAGCCAAATCAGGGTTTTCGCCCTTCCCTTCCTTTTTTCCCTACTCCGAGGCGTCTAACTGCCTGAAAAAGGCTTTAGAGGGTCTCCTGGCTGTACAAGAAGATGCGTGAGAGCTTTCACATGCCCAGAAATAGATCCCGGGCAGCAGAAAACTGCTGTGCTTCTTTGCTTGGGCGAGAGCCAAGAAATTTCCCCAACACCCACCAGAGAAGCTGCTCTGGGAGTCTGGCATCTCCCAGGTGCCCTGGCCTGGGGGCAAATTTCGCTGGGCATTTGTGCTGGAGTTGAGAGGCCATAAACAAACCTGTGCATATCTCCTCCAGCATAAATCCCAGGGGACGTAACTGTTTAATAACAAGTCAGGAAACAGAAGCTTGCCAAAGAGAGAGAGAGAGAGAGAGAGAGAGAGATGAGATGAGATGAGATGCTGGGGGTCAAAAAAAGTCAAGATGGCAGCCTCAGCTAACCCCCCACTCCCCAGCGAGATGAGAAGGAAGAGAGGAGAAGGGCAGATGAAGAGGAGGGTGTGGACATGTTCTATCACGTTTGAAGGTATCCATTTCCCTCAGGCAAAAATCTCTTCCCCTCTCCCTCCCCAGCTCTAAGAGGGAGTCAGACTCTGATAGCATGGGGTGAAGATCCTGGTTTTTTCCCCAGAGGACAGAAAAACCAGTCAGAGACCTCCCTTTCCACCCCTTTTTCCCTTTCTGCCATTCCTTCCCTTCCATCTTCTTCTTCCTTCCCTTTGGCCACATTTCCCCCTCTCTCCTCTGCTGTGTGACGGTGACAGACGTTGTCCCCAGTTTGTTAGCAGTGAACCTGCTCGGCTCACGGAGAGGGTTCCCTCTCGCCGAAGCCTGATCTATTTACTCATAGAAAATCTTCTTTGCCTCCTACCTCTATGGACGTGAGGCAAAGGGCTTGGTTGAAGACGCGTGTTAAAACCCCGCTTTGGCCCAGAGCAGGTATGCCAGTGCTCAGAAGGTCAAGCACGCCTTCGCAATTCAAAACGACGCTGTTCAGGGCTCTGGAACTCATTAGCCTGATGGCCTTTCGCAGTCAGGAACAGGAAGAGGGATGGCGAAGGAGGTTGACAGAGACAGCCCTGAGCAAACCATTTCCCCTGCAATTGACTTAATTATCACTCCAAAATGAGGAAAAAGACGCAAGGAGGCCCCAATTCGCCTACATCTTTGTCTGAAAAGGCAAGCTTCCCCTCCCAATTTGGTGTTCAAGGCCCATGCTCTGATGCTAGCAGAAACGTCCCCTCCCATCCTGGACCCAGAGCTCTGACCCAGTCTGTCTGTCTCTGTAGATACATTTCCGGGCTTTCTTGGAGGGAGAGGGAGGAAAATCTGTGCCCTAAGGAGAACTGGAGTCAGACCCACCCGGGAATGACAGAAGGAACCCTGCTAAAATGGTTGTGCTGCCTCGGCAAGATCCTTTTTGTGGCCAGTTCCTAAAGAGGGCAACAACTAGACACTACAAAGCGGGAAGAGGCATCTTCCAACACTGTGCATTTGCAGAAGAGGCTTTAGAGAGAGTCCTAGAGGAAGGGCAAGAGCGGTCCCAGGCAACACGCAGGTCAATCTGTGTGAGTGCTGCTCTGTTCAGAGAGGAAGCAGAGCTACAACCCCCTGCTGATCCTGTTGAGGCAGCAGAGACCTCCTGAACACGCTAGGTATACCTGTGTCCAGGTAGATGCCAGAATTAAGGATCTTCTCCAAAGGAAAAGGAGCTGCACAGCTTTGAAAATGAGGAAAAACTTAAGTAACTCAATTATTCAGGTCCAAGCTCAATAGGTTTATTTTTAGCTAACATGTACATACACCGAGCAAAAGACCAAAAATACCATTTATTGTATGCTCCTCTGTGCAGCACGGGATACAGAATTTGGTGTCCTCCAGGTGGTTTTTTAGTTTAGCTTCCAGTCAGCCCAGCCAGTATCCAAATGGCAGGGAATTACACAAGTTGGGTCCAAAACATCTCAAAGACCTCAGAAAATTAAGATCAGATTTGGAAGTACAGGCAGGAGATGCTAAGGCCTGGCCAATACATTTCATGGCTGGGACCTCTTTTCCAGAAATAAGTCCCAGATCCCTCTTGTGTCAGCCTGGGGGAACTCCAGCTGACTTGTTCCTGGTTCAAGGCCATTGATTGGTAGAAACAGAAGTATACTTAGCATTAAAGAAGGCTGTTCTAAGAAGCTCATCTCTCTCAAATGTATCCACCCAATCTATCTTCCTTCCTTCCTTCCTTCCTTCCTTCCTTCCTTCCTT